TGAAATTATAAACCATGGCCGCCCGAAGACTAGTTCCTCTCATGGAGATTAACGGTTGTGGCTCACATAGCGTTTCCAGTGGCCACGTGCACACTGATGCGTTGTCCTTCGGTGGAGCCGCTGAGGCCACGGCAGGGCCTCTGGATCTCGACTGGACCTTGTCACTCACCATGTGCTTCAGGCGCTGGTAGTACCTGTGGTATGAACTTGGGAAAACAACTTTGCAAATGTTGCTCAGTCACCGGACCCCTTCACCCTCTCTCAAGATGAATTGGAAGAACCTCCATTCTCCATCCCGGTCCGCAACTCCAATTCAATACATCAGGATTTGGTTGCAGATTCACATAGGGTACACAGGCCCGACAAAGATCTTGTTGGTAAGAGGTCGTCCAGTATGTCCATTCCAGACCTTTTCGTTCCCGAAGCGCTGGAAGCCCATGTCGTGAAGCCTCAGCGGGCACCCTCGTGCACAATATTGCACAATCATTTCCCTTGGCACCGGTAATTTTTGGTAAACAGCAGGCCTGCTTGAAATGTCCTTCACGGTCACGCGCGTGAAGGGCGTGGCCTGTGCACAACCAAGGATACATCATGTATATCAGACACCCGCTCGAAGGTTCTGAGGCGCGTACATCCCCTTGACATCCAACCAGTGCACCAACCTGACGGTGTAGCAGAAAATGCACAATGTGTGCACTGTCATGCACGCAGTGGCTTTTGGTACTGAAGCGCCGAGAGAGGTGCATGGGTGAGAAGCCCTAGTTTTCTGTGTCGTGCTGGGGACTGGAATCTAGTGGATTTTTCGCAGCCCGCTAGACTACCTGAAGATCTCACGCAACTCGAGACAGGAGGCATGGTCTCAATGACCAGCCCCAAGTGCTCATCCCTTGTAGTTGAGTGAACTTTGGATAGATTTAAATAAAGCGAGCCTCAGCTGGGCATCCCTGCCTTTCCCGTCAGCTGCTCGACCAAGTGGCCAATCGTCATCCGGGATGGAATGGCGTGCGGGTTCATGATCTGCCACGAATCACGCATGAGATCGGTGAGAGGTCAACTTGCTTCATGGGGAGGTGCAAATCTCTAGCGCGTAGCTTCCAGCAACTTTGCATGCCAGACCAGTCGCCACAAGTCGTGCGAAGAACAAAGGCATTATAAAAAGAACAGTCTTGTAAAAACATGGCTGCAAGACGATGTCAGGTGTGATGCCGAAGTGTGTGAAAGGCAGATCTTCTTGGCGATACATGATGCCAAGCCTGGTGTTTAAGACCGTAGCATGACTACTTCATTCGCTCACATCTACGTCACAAGATCCAGAAAACACACGCTTTGCCCACACAAGGAAAGCCCGCATCACCCAACTGCTGAGCGAGCGCAGGTATGGCTCTGGACATGCAGAATTCTGACCAACTACATGCCGGGCATGTCCCAACTCTGAGGCAGGTCACGTTCCCTTCTGGCCATGCCGCGAAGCGAACTTGTCACCAACCTCCAACAGCATGCAGCTGCAGGCACGATTGTGTCTATCAGCACCCAGTTACGCTTACTGCTGTGAAAGGTGGACAAGGCACGCTAAGAAGGTATCGTTTGCCGCACGCACAAAGAGGGGCACAAGGAGCGTGATACTGGATTATTCCGACGCACCTCCGGAATTTTCAGAGTTCTGAGACGCACTTTGGTAAACTTGTACCTCAGCAGCTTCAAGTTGCAAATTGGTTCACAACTCACAGCCAGCGTCAGGTGCCCTAAAAATCTCTCCCTGTCAACTTGAGTGAGGCCATCACCCATCCTTGTTGAGGCTGACCATGACCTGGTCGACGACACCACTTTCGGCCGTCCGGCATAGGATGGAGCTGTCCTTTTGACAGCAGTGTCATCAAACAGTCATCACAGTCCACTCGAGGCTTCACGAACAAGCGGGCAAGAGTCCTTTCTGTCGTACTTCTTGGGTCCCACCTCCTCACCTTGGCAGCTCTACACCCTGGTGACCCGGTGAGATCGCAGAACCACGAAGAGCGAGATCTGCGATCCAAGAGGCGGATCATGTCTGGTGGCAGGACTGAAGTCCGGCCTATCAGCACATCGTCACCTGGCAACAAAGCACCAATGCCAAGACTCAGCTTTGCGCTAAGTGCAGACCCCTACTGTGAAAGCACCTATAATCATAAAACAGTGAAATTCAAATCTCAAGCACTTTTTCATTCAGCGCATGGAGAAACTAGTCTGCTCGCGTCTGTTTGTCAACAACCTAAGAAGCTTCATAGAATCGCTGCCAGTAGTTTCAGCGCCGTCTGTATCTTTCATTTGGGTGCTGAAGCCCCTTCCTCGGTGTTGGTGGCCTTCTCGCCCTACACTGTTTTTCGTTCTTTCGCTTATGAGTTTTAAAACCGCGCCCGTGGCGTCTAAGTAATCGTTGGCAAAGCGGTTCTTGCGTGATTATTGCTTTGAGGCATGACACAAGACAGCACTTGCCCGAGTACAGAGATGAAAGTGGGCCGCTGCAGCGAATCTGAGCTCCGTGCCAAGGATACGAGTCCCAGGCTGGGCAAGGCCATCAGAATCCAACTTGCTGTAGTCACCTCGCTTTGAAGATCTCCAACCACTTCAAGCACGCTCTGACTGGGGCAATTGCCATTCTTGATGCCCAGGGTTCGGTGGTCGTGGGGACGGCAGAACCTGAACTTCTGAGCAGCTTGTATGGCACTGCTGAGGGTATACATTCGAAGACCAGCTGCTCATCGACAGGCTTCTTGCCCTCAAATTTCTCCTGCAGGATTTCATCAAGATGTCACTGTCTTGCTCCAAACTCCAGGATTGCAGTATTAGCGGACTTACATTTCCCGAAAACAACATAAGCATCGGTATGGGAACTCTCGAACACTAGGCCCAATCAAAAGTCCGCGCTCCTCAGCAGCGTAGCATCGATACGAGACGGCTCTCATGAAACCCCTGTCCACAGCAGATTGGCCTCAGCAATAGCTCTGAGAACTCTGTGCATCCGCTGATTGTCTGAGACCAGGTGTCTGGCTCAACATCAGGGAATCTTCCTGGTTGTAGCCTGCGGGGTGCTGAAGCTTGCCATCAGTAGCTTGTGGGTGAAACAGAGCAGGATGTAATGCTTTGTGAAGGACTGGTGCAGGGTGCATGACAGTGATCGACATAAGATGATGTTTGCTGGCCTGTGTAGCACATAATCATGACGATGGTGTTCACCTGGAGAGTGAGAACTTGCATGCAATGTATGCGCATGAGGTAAATACATTATACCCTATATAACCCATTATAGTAGTTTCCATTTGATTTTCCATTATCCCTATATAACCCTAACCCCTAAACCCTAAACCCTAAACCCCTAAACCCTATTATAGTAG